CCTCGGGAGGTTCCTGCTGCAGGAAGGGCCCTGCCCCGCCACGGAGCCGGGATCTGCGCCGCTGCCGGATCCGGCATGGCCTCCCCGGGCAGGGGGATGGGACCCCCCTTGGGGGGTTCCTATAGGAGCTGCCCTGCACTGGCTTTTGTGGCGCCCCCCTCAAGGGAGTCCCACTGGGGTCCCTGTGCTGGTGGATGCACCCCAAACCCTCCCGGCACTGGGAGCAGGGTGGTGGGGGAAAGAACCACCGGAGGTGCTGACACTGGTGGGGAGCGGGAAGGAAAACAGGGCAGTGAAAGTGGGGAAGGGTCCTTCAACCACCCCACAAACCCCTAAAGGACAGGCCAGGAGCAGCATCCCCGTCCCCAAGTCCCCAGCCCTCCTCCCACGGAGACGCAGCATCAGGTGGGACCTGCGATTCGGCACCCGCTGCGGAGAAGCAAACCCCCGAGACGGCTTCACTCGTCGTTAAATAAACTTTAATTATTTTTGCATGGGGAGGGGTGAAAGGAAAATAAAATTTCTTCCAAGGACGAAGAGCAGCAGGTGGGGAGGAGCAGCCCGGCTCTTCTCTCCCCTCTCTTCCCAGAGGCCACGGTGACGGGTGGGCTCTCTGAGCGGGAGATGCTCGGCCGGTCAGGGTGCCCGCGGTCCCCCCCGGGGCAGGCGGGTCCCTAAAGGCACAAGTGTCACTTTGCCCCCTCCCTGCGTGGCTGCTGTCACCTACCTGGAGTAGGCCAGCTTGTGCAAAACCCCCACGTAAAAAAATACTGTTTTTTCAGTACCGAACATCCTAAAAAACTAGAGCTTTAATCAACGTCAGTTATCCACACCCTTGATTGGAAATCCTGATTTACACCCCGGAGAGCCTCTGGGTTTCCACCACGACGGGATGTACCAGGTTGGCACCAGGAAGGCAACTGGGAGCATCCCCGAGCGGCACCAGGTGAGCGTGAGTCGGGGGGACGGACCTTTCCAGCCCAGGTGGGCAGAGGGTCCCTCCGTGGGGCAGGAGCACCCACACCCCATCGCCCAGCACCGCCAGCTCCCTGTCCTGGGGAAGGGCCAGGCTCAGGCTCAGCTCCCGGGCAGGGGGGGGCCCTTCCCCCCAGGATCAGTCTGGCTGGATGAGAAGCCAAGGGCAGCGTCGAGGTCCATCCCCAGCGGCTAAAGGCTCGGCTCCGCGCTTCCGCCTCCAGCTGCTGCTGGTACCGCTGCCGGCGCTCGCAGCGGGGGCACGACTTGGCGCTGGCCTGGCAGTCCCGGTGGAAGACGGTTTTGCATTCGCTGCACCTGGAAGAAACCAAGGGATAAAAACCCCCAAACCAAACCGACCCACCCTGTCGGTGACACGAGAGCAAAGACGAAACTTCTCCCCCCGGAACCAGCCCTGGGGACGCTTCCTCGTCTCCGTTTCCTCCAAGCCCTCAGCTGAGCAAAGAGCCCTGGCCCAGCAGCAGCCGGCTGTAGCTCGAGATGAACCTCGCCAGCAGGAACAGTAAGTACTCGAGCAAAAGATCCACCTCCAGCAAGCTCGGAGCAGAAGCAGCAGCTCACCCGGAAAGGGCGCTGCAGGCAGCTGCCAGCACGCTGCCGGGTTTTTTTTGCAGATGAAAGGAGGCGTTGAGCGAGGTTTGCACCTTATTTTTGGAGCGCTGCCACCACGAGAGCCAAGTTTCAAGGCTCACACACCAAATCCTGCGACGGTGCATGGTGGGGAGAGCCCGGCTGGGGACGGGATGCAGCTCAGCGCCAGAGCGCGGACCGGGGCTGGGGCGCAGCCAGGACCCCCCCAGCCCTGACTGCGTGACCCACCCGTACACAGGGACACTGCTTGGGGACATCAAAGCCGCAGGGAAGGGGGTGGGCAGGCGGGGATGGCGTTGCCTTTGAGCTGGCCGGCGCTGGGGAGGTCAGCCGCGAACGACACCTTGCGCGGGGCCGGCCGGGAGGAGACACCCAGCTCTGCGCGGGGCGTTCCCCGCTTATCTTCAGTCAACAGGAGAAAAGTCGGTGCTGCGGCGGCTGAGCTCACTTTTTCCCCGTCCTGATCCCCCACCTCACCAGCAGCAGCGAAATGCAGCCCATCCACATGCCAGCGGGTCAGCTAGATCACGTTTTTAAAGGCCCTCAAGCGCAAATAGCTTGGGCACCATCCATACCACGGAAGGCCTTCATGTCCCACTCCCACAGGCTGAGGGGAGAAACACCCAGCAGCGTGCCAGGCAAGGGACCACGACAGGATCATAGCATCAGAGAAGAGTTTTGGTCGGGAGAGACCTTCAAGATCATCGAGTCCAACCTTTGCCCTTGCCCTACCAACACCACCAAACCCTGTCCCCAAGTACAACATCTACCCATCTCTCAAACACAGCCTGGGTCTGATCCTGCTCCTGACAAGCGGCTGCAAAGCCCCCAGTTACTCAGGATACGGAAAAGGCTCGTGCATGGACAGGCGGGATGGGAGGTGCTGCCCGGTGCCGGGCGCTTTCCCAGCGCGGTGCATTTTCACGTGGCTTCTCCAGATCA